CGGCTGACTTTAAAATGGGGAGCTTCTCCTGGTGTTCTAGTGGGCCCCAGTCCTGGGGCCGACGGACTTTCCCTGGACATTTATGTACCTGACGGGAGCGCCCAGAAGGAGAGAAATCACTGGTTGGTTGGGTCAGTGCTCAACCTTTGGGGCCAGATGGCTTGGGTTCAAATCCTACTTCTGCCGTGTTTTAAGTTTGTGCCATTAGGCACAATTACTTAATTTCTTAAATTTCATGTTATTTCTTAACTTGAGTTCCTTTGGGAAAAGACTGCTTTTACTGGAAAATGCCCTTTAGATCAAGCCGTGTGGGGAGTGCAGGGAGTGGAATTGTGCAGAAGGAGGAGCAGAACGGTGACCCTGCCTTAACAGAGGCCTCAGCCTGTAGCAAGGAGACTCTGACACTAGCATGGCCTGCAGGGTTCTCCCAGATGGAGCAAAGAGGCGGGGCATGTGTGTGACTGGTCCCTGACTGATGGCTTCCTGAAGGGAGGGCCATAGCCTTGCGGTAGCGGTCTATTTATTTATTTATTTATCGAGAGGATTTTGTATAGGGTGCGCGTGCTCATCAGAGAAACTGAGAGAAACAGAAAACGAGAAATTATCCCCCCGGGGGGATGGCCACACTGCAATCTCCTCCTCTCCATTCTCCTCTCGGGATTTGGGGCATGCATGCACATGCGCCGATGGGAGTTTTAAGCCACTGCATCCAGACTCCAACTGCAGTTGGCTACGTGAGAGTCCAGCGGCGTTACCATTCCGCCATCTGCTGGTCCAATGTCAGGGGCCTTCTTAAGCTAAGGGGGAGTCTGGGGAAGGACTTAGCTGTGAGCTAGCAGCTGGCAACGTTCCTAACAGTTGGAGTGAGTGCTAGCCCTGAAGAAGGCACCCAGTACAGTCAGCCACAGCAATGTCTATCTGCAGGGTGGGTGTGAGGAATTCCTAAGCAAATCCATGTATGATGTGTGTATTCAGCACCAAGCACAAATCACAGCTTAACAAGGACCAGCCATTTTTTTTTTGAGAGGTTTTTGCTATAAGGCGCGTGCGCTCGCCAGACAGACAGAGAGAGCCATAGAGACAGAAAGTGAGAAATCACCCCCCAGGGGGGATGGTCATGCTGCAATCTCTTCTCCTCCATTCTCCTCTCAGGATCTTGGGCACGCACTCACACGCGCCCGGTGTGAGTTCTAAGCCACCAGGTCCGGGATGCGAACCGCAGTCGACTACGTGGGAGTCCAGCGACATAGCCATTAGGCTGACTGCTGGTTCCCAGGACCAGCCATTTTTATAAGCGAGGTATCTTGTTCTTGGACAGAGGGTTTCCCACTTAGAGGAGTGTGCCAACGTCCCGCGGTAGGAGTATAAATTTACACAGAAGGCAAGCCGGAGTGGCTGGAGGATAGAAAGCAAGAGGAAGTCTAGTAAAATCTGAGGGAGGAAGGCAAAGCAAACTTTAAATAGGTCGTGGTAAGTCCTAAAATAGAATGATGGATCAAGGGGGACATTAACACAAACGCCATCTGATTTGCATGGAGGCAGAGAGAGGTTTTGTCAGGATCAACCTTAGAAAGAGTTCATTAGTATAATAATAGTATCATCTAATACTTAATGTATGTGGCAGGCATCACGCCAAGCACTTAATTCTCACCAGAATCCCTTGTGCTGGGTATTCTCGTGGTCAGCAGTCTACAGATGAACACGTTGAGGCTTATGGACTTAAGCCTCCTGCTCAATGGGCGCCAGGCTAGTGCGTGGTCAAGCTAGGATTTAAACCCAGGCAGTCTGGTGCTGGAGCCCTCGCTCCTAACCAGCAAGCTATATAAGTCCCTGCAGGGAGAGTGGCGCGGCCAGGGACGGACCACCAGGCAAAGGCGGCCTCTGGGAAAGGCTCACCCAGCTTCCAACTGCGTTTACCGCACATGTGATGCGATATGCCTTAGGAATGGCTCCCTTAAGATCCTCAAGTGTCTCAAAATGCTGCAAACTCCTTCTGGGTAGGAGCACTCCCAGGACCAAGAGCTGCAGGCTGAACCGAGGCCCCAGAGAGAACCGCCCGCTGTGCACAAAGCAGTACTGGGTGTCTGTGTGCTGCTAATGGGAAAGTAGATCCGGCCTTTGAAGACCATAGAACTGTGGCTATTTGAGCCTGACTTGCTGAACCACCTGCTGGGCTTCTCATGAGATAAGGAGCCAGCAGAACAAAGAGGCCTGGGACATGTATGTGTGCACCCCTGTGTGCTATGTCCGGGTAACCACAGGGACAGGGCAACACTTGAGCTACAGGAGGGAATGGCACAGAGATTCAACCAACACCTGTGAGCCTTGTGGGGCACGTGGGCTCTGCCGAGCCTGGCTGAACCTCCAGCACTCCAAACTGCTGCTGGTCTCAGGAACACTGGAACTGCTGCTGCTGGAACTTTGCCGCTGCCGTGGAAGGCTCTTACTCCAGATCTTTGCATGGCTTCCTCTTTACTTCATGTGGGTGTTCTCTCAGTTGCCTTCTCTTCAGAGAAAGTCTTCCCTGACCACCCATGGCAGAGACAGCTGATATTCTCCAATATCTTCTCCACCTTAACTTGAGGTGGGACCCAGGTCTTGTAGCTGCATTCCTACTGGGCAGCAAAATAGAGACTACATTTCCCAGTCTCCCTTGCAGCAAGGTGTGGCCACGTGACTAAGTGCTGGCCAATGGAATGTGAGGGCAAGGTATTGGAGCAACTTCCAGGCATTTCCTGAAAGGAAGTGTGCCCTTCCTTGCTCCCTCCTTCCTGTGGCGTGCAGTGTGGACAATGCTGTCAGCCACGGTGGGTAATGGGGAGGTGGACTGTGCTCGAGGGAAGGCAGAGCCACAATTTAGGAGGAGTCTGGGAGCCTGATTGACTTGAGGAGCAGAGCCATCAAACCAGCCCTGGTGTTGGGTGAGAACGAAGAAAGTTACTTTGGTTAAGCATCTGCTGTTTTGCACCATAGTTACTGTTATAGTTTGATCTGTTGCTAATAACAGAAAATACCTGAATCTGAGCAATTTATAAAAATAGAGGTTGGAGCCAGCCAGGTGGTGCAGAGTTTAAGGCATCTGGAACCTGCACGACTGAGTATGCAGTTCAAGTCCCACACCTGGTGGCTTGGAAACCATGCCAGGAGTGTGTGTGCATGACTGAAGTCCCAAGAGGAGAATGGAAAAGAAGGGATTACGGTGTGGCCATCCTGCTGCGGGTGGTGGTGAAATTTCTCACTTTCCCTGACTCTCTGTATTTCTCTTTTGCTTATGTACCCTATAGCCAAAACTAAAATACTACTACTACTAATAGATGTTGGGCTCATTCGATGGCTTGGTGGTTAAGTCAGGCACACCCACATGGCTGACTCAGTGGTTCAAGTCCTGGACACTGTGGCTTGAGCACTATGCTAGGCATGTGCATGTACATGTCCAAAATCCTGACAGGATGGAGAAGTGGGGACTGTGGCATGACCGTTCTCCATGGGGGGGGGCATTTTCTCCATCCCCCACCCTGTCTCTGATAAGTTCACATGCCCCCTGGTAAAAATTTTAAAAAGAGGAGTTAATCTAGCTCACTATTTGGACATTTAAGGTTCTGGAGTCACCTCCGATGTGGTTCTTGAAGAGCCCAAGGCATCCCATCACAAGGGCAAGCACAAAATAGAACGACTTTGTCCGTCCGTGTCTGTGGTCTGGTTTTGTTCCTTTTTGTAAACCCACTGGGACTCTGTCATGGGGTCCATGATGCCTAATCACTTCCCAAAGCCCTGTTCAACGCCATAATCAGATTATCTTTTCACCCTCTTAATCCTGCTACACTGGCTCATCAAATTTTAACATATCAATTTTGTGGGGTATTCAAACCCTAGCAGTACATTTAGACAGATCTTTATTTATTTATTTATTTTTCGTGTGTGTGTGTGTGTGTGTGTCTGTGTGTGTGTGTGTGTGTGTGTGTGTGTTTGCTACAGGGCATGTGCACTCATAGGAGAAAGTCAGAGACGAGAGAGAGAGAGAGAAAGAAAGTGAGAAATCACCCTCCTAGAGGGATGGCCACCACTATCACTTCTCCATTCTTCTCTTGGGATTTTGGGCACACCCATGTACCTGGTGTGATCCTCAAGCCTCAAACTTTGAAGTTGGCCCTTTGGGATCCAGCTGCCTTAACCTCCATGCCACCTGCTGGCCCTCTAAAGGTATTCTAACCACCTTATCCAGAAGGCTCCATGACCTCTGACTGTGCTGTGTCCCCCCATCTTGCTGTATTAGTCACCTGTCACCCCTAAACAATGTCTTTTGTGGTCTGTGTATAGTTTGTTTACCTCTGTAAAGTATAAGCTCCCTAAGGGCAGGATCTGCCTGTGCACCTGCTCCCCTGGTCTATCCTAGCTCCAGCAATGGTGCTCAGCACCTCACAGTCCTCGATATTTACTCGGGCAGCAGATAAACGCTGAGCACCTTCTAGTGCGTGGGACTTCATTTGCATTCTCACCACTGGTGTGCTCTGAGGCCCTTCGGGGGAATGTCACTCTCACTGCTTTACTGCAGAGGAGACAGAAATGGAGGGAACTTGAGGTACTTGTCCCAGATCCTGAAAGTGGCAGGGCCATGCTTGAAATATAGGTCTCTTTTCCCACAAGTTAACTCCTCTCTTTTTCTCCCCAAAGCAATCCTAGGATGTGGCTTTAGTAGAAAAACAGACTCGCATAATTCAACAAGAAGGAGACAAAGAAATCAATTAAAAATGAGCAAAAGGTTTTAATAGCTATTTCACCGAAGAAGATAGAGGAATGGCTCATATGCACATGAAAGGACGCTGAACATCACGTGTCATTAGAGAAAGTCAAATCCGAATCACCGTGGAGTACCTCTTCACCCCATTAGCATGGCTATAACCCAAACAAGCAGACCACACCAAGCGCTGGTGAGGATGCGGAGCCCCTGAAGCCCTCGCACACTGTAGATGGGGACACACAATGGTGCAGCTACTTTTGGCATTTGGGGCCGGCAGCTGGTGTGGAGGTTAAGACTCTGGATCCCCCGTGGTCGAGTGTACAGTTTGAGTGGACCCGTGGCTTGAAAATCATGCACGTTGCAGGTACGTGAGTGCCCCACATCCCAAGAGGAAACTGGAGGAGACGGGATTGTGGTGTGACCATGCTCCCGGAGGGGAACTTCTCACGTTCTCATTTTCTTTCTCTCTCTCTGGTGAGCGTACATGCCCTATAACAAAACAACAACAACAGCATCTAAAAAAGAAAAGAAAAAGAAAAGGAAAAAGAAAAGGAAATGGTTGGACAGTTTCTTTTTTTCTTTTCTGAGAGATTTTTGCTACAGGGTGTGCACGGTTGCCAGAGAAACAGAGACAGAAAGTGAGAAATCACCCCACACACACACACACACACACACACACACAAGTGGGGGAATGACCATGCCGCAGTTCCTTCTCCTCTATTCTCCTCTTGAGATTCTGGGCACACAAGCACAGAGTTTCAAACCTGGGCGTGAGTTTCAAACCTCCGGGTCAGGACCCAACCTGCAGTGGCCCATATGGGAGTCCAGCGCCTTAATTGCCACACTACCTGCTGGCCCCAGTTTGACAGTTTCTTAAAAAGCTGTGTCTAGCTTTACCGTATGAGCCAGCAAAGCACAGTAGGCAGGTGCATAGAGCCAGATATAAAGTCTATCCGCCATACGATGTCATTGTATGAAGAACCCAAAATGCGCGACTCTAGGGAAGAGAAAGTCAGTTAGTGGTGGCCTAGGGCTGGGAGTGGGGATGGACAAAGAGTGACTGCTAATGGCGTCAGGTTTCTTTTTAGGTTGATGGAAATATTTTAAAATTAGATGGTGGAGGTTATTGAACATCTCTGTAAAATTTACTGAAAGTCATTGAACTGTACACTTCAAATGGGTGAATTTTATGATCTGTCAATTCCACTTCAATGAAGTTGTTAAAAAACGAGCTGTCGTTTTAGTCCATAGCATGTCTTCAAAGGAAGCAGGTAGGAAGTTTTTGGGTAGAGCCTCCGGCCCACTGATGGGGAGATGACAGAGAGGAGTGTTAAAAACCACCTTAGGGCCATAGGCAGAGGTTGACTGGTCACCCTGCCGCTTGCCTGGCAAGTCATGTAAGCTCCCCTGGCCTCAGTTTGGTCATTTGTAAAATGGAGACAATAACACCTTCCTGCTGGGTTGCTTTTAGGAACTGAAAGAGAGTATTGAAAGGTTCGGCAGGATGCCTGACACAGAGATCCACTCTTGTTAACCTCCAGTCGCTTCTAGGGAGGCCGCCACTAAGCCTTGGCCTTATTGGGGTGACATTACCTGGGTGGGAAGTGGGAGTAATGAATTCACCAAGCATCGCTTGAGCATCTGACCTATGCCAGGTCCTGCCTTGGGTACAGGAATACGAAGATGGACTGGATCTAGCCTGTGCCCTCAGGGAGCTTGGCACCTAGACAGGTGACAGTCATCAGCAAAGCAGTTGTTCTACTGAGAAGGATAAGGAGTAGCACCGAGGGAGAGACTCCAGCGAGTCTGGAAAGACGATGCCTTGCATGCAGCCTTGGAAGACACGCAGGGGTCTGAGAGGCAAAGGACAGAGGTACAAATTCCAGGCTGTACTAACAGCTTGCACGTGCCCAGCTCAGCTAACTTCGCCTCTCAGAGAACACGATGAAAGAGCAGAAGAGAATTTCAGCTCCGGGAGTTGGGAGAGACCTGTCAAGGTCCTCTTGTCCGATTGCTTTGCTTACCGGAGCCTGGACTTCAAAGGTTTTTGGCCTGAGAAACAGCTGCTCCTTAACTCAGCGTCCCTTTGAAGATGAAGCTATCGAAAGCAAAGCTTCGTGACTTGCACAGAGAGTTGCAGTCAAGTTTCAAAACCCCAGGAGTCTTAGGGGTGCCACTCAGAATTCAGGGACTGGCCCACGTTAGCGGGAAGTGAGGACAGATGTGAGGTGCTGTACTGGCAGCAAGGTCCTGGCTGGCTGCCCCAGGCCAGAGGCCTCAGCAGCAGGTGTGCCTGGGGGATGGAGAAGGAGCAGCACTGCTCGAGCCCCTACTGCAGGCACCGACGTTGTGCCCAAGATTTTTATTTTTTCTTTTTTTGAAGAAGTTTTTTTTTTTTTTTTGGAGGGGGGAGGTTTTTGCTATAGGGTGCATGCGCTCACCTGACAGACAGAGAGAGAGAAAGCAAGAAATCACCCCCCAGGGGGGATGGCCACGCCGCAATCCCTTCTCCTCCAGTCTCCTCTCAGGATCTTGGGCACGCACACACACACGCCTAGCATGAGTTTAAGCCACCGGGTCTGGGACTCGAACCGTGGTCGACTACATGGGAGTCCAGTGACATAGCCATTATGCTAACTGCTGGTTCCCTGTTGTGCCAAAGATTCTACCAGGCACCTTACATAGGTCCTCAGGGAGGTGGGAATTCTCATCCCATTTGACCCATGAGCATCCCAGAGCACTAAGAATGTAAATGACTTGCCCAAGATCACACAGTCAGGAAGGAGTAGGGCAGGATTCAAATTCAACTCTGCCTTCCCCACAGTACTTGCTGCTTGCCAGTCTACGCCACATCTTGCTTGTCCCCATCCCATCTGATGTCTGACAGCCAGATCTCTGACATATGGGAGAGCTGGTACCTATGGAAACTCTGCATTCACATTTTCCAAAACAGGAATATTTCTCTCACAATAATTTGTTATATTTTTAAATATGAAGTTAAATACAAGAAAGATTGAAATTGCAACCTTAAATCAACAAATTAAGCACCACTTGTAAAGACCAGGACAACGCCTTATCTGAAGACCCTACTGCATTGTGGAGTGTGTATTTTTAGACTTTCTTCCAGGCTGCAGAACTCCATTTTTGCACGATTGATACCATTTTGTATATACCATATTGTGTTCTATTTTTTTTCTTCTCAGAATTGTGTCATAAACATTTCCTTTGCTACTTTGAAGTCCTTGTAAACATTTGGCAGCACAATCTTCATCAATCTGAATGAGTTTATTTAACCAAGCTCCTGTGCTTGAATGTTCGGCTCATTTCCATTTATTTCCCCAACGTTAAACATCCCTGTCTGGGCAAGGTGGGTGTAGCAGCTCGTTCTGGGTTTATAACGGCGCACGCCAACGTGCCTGGCTCTCACGCCAGCTGTCCATTGTACAGGGTAGGGGCGATCAGAAGAGAGCCAAATAGCAGCGAGGAGCTTCTTTGCGTTTTCTCTAACAACCTGGGAGGTAGGCACCATTCTTCCTGTTTTACAGGAGGAAGACTGAGGCTTAGGAGGTTCAGAGGTTGAGCAGGGGATTCTGACTACAATCAGGGCAGCCAGTCACATTTCTCAATGTACACATAAAACACGCAGCTGCTTTGGACCAGCATTGGCATAATGGCTATGTTGCTGGACTCCCATGTAGTCAACCGCGGTTCGAGTCCCGGATCTGGAGGCTTAAACTCACGCTGGGGATGTGTGCATGCGTGCCCAAGATCCTGAGAGGAGAATGGAGAAGGGATTGCGGTGTGGCCATCCCCCTGGGGTGTGTGTGGGTGTGTGTTTGTGATTTCTCACTTTATGTCTCTCTGTCTCTGTCTTCCTGGCGAGTATATACCCTATAGCAAAAACCTTTCAAAACAACAACAACAATAACAACAACAAAACCCCAAAAAAGTGGATGTTTTGCATTTAGATTGGAAACTCAGGCATCAAGAGCAATGGTTCCCAGACGTTTGTCAGGGGGTGCAAATTCCCCAGGCAAAGTAGTCCCATGGGTGTATGCTCCTATTCTAATGAATGCTCTTCTGCATTCGCGTCTTCCTGGAGACTGACAATTGTAGGGTTAACCTTGAACCCACTCTAATTCATATATATATTTTTTAATTGCCAGAGGGCACACATGCTAGCCAGAGAGAGAGCAAGCACCCCAATGGGGCGTGGTCATCCTGCAATCCTTTTTCCTCTGCTTTTCCATTCTGTCAGGACTTGGGGCATGCACATGTGTCTGGTGTGTTTTAAAAGCTCCCGGGATCAAGATTCGAACACAGCCGCCTGTGTGAGCTGACCCCCCATACACAGGGCTTAGCTGCTGCACTACATGGTCAGCCCTAACTCCTATATTTTGTAACAAAGCAAATAGTTTACCCTGCCTTTAGGTTAATATCCGGTAGCTTGGGGAACCCTCCTGGTGTGTTGCAGTAATTAGACTGAGAACCACTGGTCCAGAACACAGGTGAAAACCAGGAATGAAGTTACGAAAGATCTTGGGGCTGCCAAAAATAGCCCTTGAAAACTCCGACATTAAAGCACTTGTATTTGGATCAAAGGAGAGACCTTCGGCTTCCTAAAATGTACAATAGGCATAATCTGTCCTGAGAATTGCTGTGATGTTAAGTGTGATGATTTGTAAGAGTCATGGTTAAAAAGCACAGTGATGGAGAAGAATAGTGGATCTGCTTCTGCTCTCATTCCTGGCCAGGCAGATGACTACATTTCCCAGAATGCTTTGCACTCTGCCAGGACCATGTGACTTTTTCTAGCCAGTGGAGTGTGAGCAGATGGGAAGAGTGCCACTTCCAAGCCGACCCATTTAAAAGCATATGTGGGACTGGCTCTGTGACCTGATGGTTAGGGCAGTCAGATCCCACATGGTTGACCCTGCAGGTGGAACCTGGTGGGTTGAAAAACACACCAGGCACTTGTGGATGTGTGCCCAAATCCTGATAGGATGGAGAAATAGAGAAGGGATTATGGCATGACCACTCCTCATGGGGGTGCTCTCTCCTCTCTCTCTCTCTCTCTGTCTTCCTGTCTCTTTTTGCTGAGTGCATGGACCCTCTGGCAAAATTTTTAAAAGAATTCTCCACACGTCTCTTGCCCTTCCACAGAGGCTCTGGAAACCACATGTCGGGATAGCAACATCTCAACAATGGTGGCGCTTCCATCAGTCTGGCTCCACAGTGACTTTGGGACAGAGCCACCTGTCAACCTACACCAGATACAGAACATGAGAGAGAAAGAACACCTTGCTGGGTTGAGTCCCTGAGACTTCTGGGCTCATTTGTCACTGCAGCATAACCTGGGCCGCTCCTGACTAATGCATCTCTAGCACTCACTTGGTCCATGGCAGATACTTATACTTTTTCCTGTCCCCTTCCTTATTGACTCAGAGAGTCTTAAGTCACATGCCAACATAGACAGGGCAGATCATATAGAGAAAATCCCGCCAACCTGGCAAATTCCTTTTGCTCTAAAATGGAGTCTTCTGAAAATCCCAAGGGTTATACATTCCCAAGTTCTGCATTAAACAAGAAGGTGTTGTTGGCTGATAATAACAGATCATTTTCACAAAGCATCTGGAGAGGTTCTGTGGAAGTAACTGTCTAAATTGTCTCCTTAGAATATGTTTCCTGACTTCTCTTGTAGGGACTGAGGGGCTCTTTGATGACTTCGCCTGCTGCCAGCAGAAGGTACCCTCCCCAGGAACTACACAGAATTGAAGCTCTGAGCCCTGGATTGTCAGTGCTAGACGTTTGCTTCCAGACTCTTCCTAGGACTGGGAGATACGGTTTGTGTTAGATTCGGCGTTGTAGTTGTTTGATCAAGCACTGGTCCAGAGGTTGCTGTGAAGATGTGCTGTAGATATAATAAACACCCACAATCAGTCGGTTTTAACTAAAGATTACCCTCATTAAAGAGGTAATTACAGCTGAAGGTCTTAAGAACAAACACTAAGATTTCCCAGAGAAGAAGCAATTCTTCCTCAAGACTATAACATAGAGATTCTTTTTCTTTTCTTTTCTTTCTTTCTTTTTTAACCATAGGATGCATGTGCTTGCCAGAGAGAGACAGAGTGAGGGAAAGTGAGAAAGCACCCTCCAGAGGAGATGGCCATGTCACAGTCCCTTCTCTATTCTCCTCCTGGGAGTGACTTTCAAGCCACTGGGTCTGGGACTTGAACTTCGGTCAGTCATGTGGGAGTCCAGCACCTTAACCACCATGCCACCTGTTGGCCCCTATAACATAGAAATTCTTCCTGCATTTTCTTGCCTGCCCTAAAAATGTCAGGTTTTCCAGTCCCCCAAACTGTGAGCTCATTTCTTAAAATCCATCTCTCTATATATACATATATCTATATATAGACACACACACATGCAGAACCTCACTTGTTCTGTTCCTCTAGAGAGCTCTTACTGGTAGAGTCCCTCTCTTATGCTGATCTGACTAGCAGTGGCTGTCTTGGAGCTGTGTTCAGAAGGATCCTGAGGGTATGACTAGGCTCACTGAGTAAGGGCAAAGTGAATACAAGCCCTGTTAAAGCAGAGAACTTCTGTGCCTTGTAAATTGCTGTTTCCCAGTACCTAGAATACCACCTGCGATGCGGGCCATGCCCTGTAATGATAAATACATTTGTCAAATGAACGAATGCTCTTTCAGCAATGCCTGCTGTGAGTGAAGCATGCCACTGCTGAGTCATTTCATACATGAGCAAACTGAGGCCCCAGGAGGGTTTTGCTCAAGATCCCGCAGCTAACTAGGGAGGCATGTGCAAGTGTTAAGCACACGTCTCCTGGCTTTCTTGCTTTGAACTCTCCACTGCCTTGTTGGACGAGGGATTTGAAGAGGAACAAAGTTATCTGGAGAGGAGAATCATCCTCTAGAAAAGGGGCTCCGACCCTTATTTGTCAAGAAAACTGAAGAAAGACTTCCGGGCTCCTACGGAGACAGAATTCACTCCCCACACAGCTGTGCGCTAACCCTTCAAACACCAGGAGGCTCCCAGGCTACGTTCTGAAGCGCAGTCTGGTGCCTTGACCTGCTGCAGACTCCCCCTAAGAGAGGCATTGCAGAGTGGTGGGGGCTCCCCACCGAAGGTTCCAGTGCTCACACCCTGGGGCACCGCTGGCTTTGCCCGGGACTAAGGGCTGGGCGCAGGGAAGTCTAGCTGGCCGTTCTGCGAAGGCTGGTTTCCTAAATGGGAACTTTGTAAGTTGTACTGGTGTGGAGGATGATTGTCAGGGAAGCCTGAAGGTGCCCCGGGCCTCCCACTAGGCCTGGCACACAGTGGAGCTTCAGTAAAGGTTTGTTGAATGACTGGGGTTCTCCAAAGTAGAGAGAGATGGGAATAAAGGGGAGGCTGAGGTCCCCATACCTGCCTGGAGTTGGGACAGTTTCTCCTCTGTCAAGATCGCGGCTATCAGGATGATCGGGGTCGTTAGGGTCGCTGTGTCCGTTCCGTAACTCCCTGGCTGGCCTAAGCAGCCTGGCTGTTTCCATTTCGAAAGGAAGGGCTGGCTTCCTTACCAGCAGCTGCTCCTTGTCCATCTCTCTGTCCCCGTCTCCTTGCTGTGCCGGGGGCCCGTGGGAATGGCCGTATCCCACGAGGTTGTCCAGGGCCAGACTGGATCTAAATCTTGGCTCTGGGGAACCGGGGGCCCTCAGTAAGTGTTCTAGTCATCATGTCTGCATTTGTAGTAGGTGGATAGACTCCTAGTTGCCTCATAAAGTTGCTTAAGGAGTTAACGAGTTAATGTATGTGAAGCTCTGCAAACAGGCCCTGGTATATAGTAAGTGCTCAGTGAACATCAGATACTGTCATGGGGTGGGAGAGTAAGGTAGCACCCCCTCCCCATGAGTAACTCCTTTTCACCATTGTCTGTTTTCCCCGCAGCCTCCACCGAGGTCAGCAGACCAAACATTGTCACCTGTCTTTCAAAGAGCGTTGGTGAGAAGTGAAGTGACACACTCCAGGTAGGCCCACTAATAAGGGTTGAACTTTGGCCTTCACATCCACTCTTAACTCTTTCCACCCAGACGAAGGACATTGCCAGTGATGACAGGATGGAGGGATGGCTGGGCGCTTCCTCTCCTCCTGGGAGTGCTGGGAATTCTGCCATGGACCAGGGTTCTGGGAACTTCTGTTAGATACATGAGATCCAATGTTGATCCCTTTTTTCCTGGGAGAAGCATTGCTCTTCCCCCCACTCCCTGCGACTGGGGACAGTTGTCTCAGCCCCAGCCTAGGTGGCACAGACTGTAGTGCTGGGAGCCACATGGTCAGCTGAGGGGTCAGATCCACAGACTGGCCTGACAATGCCCTGGACACACCTGCGGGCACCCTAGACCCTGAGGGAAGAGGACTGTGTGTGGTGGGATGAGGCCCTGTGGGGGCTGCCTCTCTCTCATGTACTATCATGTGTGGTGGGATGAGGCCCTGTGGGGGCTGCCACTCTCTCATGTGCTATCATATAAATAATAATAATAAACAATTTTTTAGGTCTTTCCCATAGGTGCATGTGCTCGCTGGAGAGAAAGAGAAAGATAGGGAGAGGGAAAGTGAGGAATCTCCCCCCACCCGGGTGGGCGACCACACCTCAATCCCCTCTCCCCCATCTTCCTCCTGGGATTTTGGGCACACACATGTGCCCAGTATGATTTTCAAGCTGCTGGGTCCAGGACTCGAACTGCGGTCAGCCATGTGAGTCCAGTGTCTTAACTACCACACCACTTGCAGGCCCCAATAAACAGTTTTTTTAAAGGGAGATATTTGTTATAGGGCATGTGTGCTTGCCAGAGAGACAGATAGAAAGCGAGAAATTACTTCCCGGGGGGATGGCCCTGCTGCAGTCCCTTCTCCTTCATTCTCCTCTTGGGATCTTGGACACGCACGCACATGCACCTGGCATGAGTTTTAAGCTGCCTGGTCCAGAACTTGAACTGTGGTTGACTGCGTGGGAGTTCAGTAACGTAACTACTGTGCCATCTGCTGGTCCCCCAGTAGATAAATTTTTAAAGTAAGAAAACCTGGCTCAGCATGTGCATGTGTGAACATATGTATGGTTGTACTCGTGTGCACAAACGTGCATGTGTGTGCATACGTTTCCATGCACATGTGTATGTGGTGGGGAGGAGTCTTTCTTTATTTCTCCAGAGGCATGGTTAGCAGCCAGAGGGACTCCATGGGCAGACAACACACAGGGGCCCACCGAACTGAGGTCCACTGTGAACCTTTCAGAGTTGTATTAGGGTTTGCTGCACCCCAGGTCCTCAGCCTCCAGTAGACTCTGGCTCCTGGTATTGCCCAGCTGCAAACCTGAAGCTCTCCCTTGCATCCATTGGATGCATCCTGGGGTCTCCCCTTATTGTGTGCACAGGGCAGACAAATTCATTTCAATATTAGCCGAAGTAAAAGAGGATTAAGAAGTTAAGTCTGTGGTAGGGGAAAGAAATAAGTCCATTGAATGCACTTCAAAGCCAGACAAAAGTGACTTCCGGATCCTCTGCTGGTTTGGGATTATCTTGCCTGGATTCCCATCTGCCTGCGTGGATTATCTATATCTGTGCCGACGGTGCACATAGTCCCAGAAAGGACTGGAGTGGTGGGGCTGAGAGCCCAGGCTTGGCTTCTCTGCCAGGGCAGGCCTTGGCCTGGGTTGGGAGAGGTCAACTCCTGTTGGCAGCCAGAATGTGTCTGATGGGTTTGGGCGGCAGGAGGGAAATCAGGGTTCTTTGATGAAGCTCCAGGTGCGCAGCAGAGGGGATTGATTGGGAGGGAGAAGCATCTGTTCTGAAAGGCAGGCTGGGGAAAAGAGAAAGCGCTAATCAGGCCTTGAATGCTAAACTCTGGGCTGGTGTTCACCAGGGGGCAGGGAGGAAAGGGGAGGGCAGGGGATGAAAGGAAGAAATGTTCAGAGAAAGTGAAACCCCTTGTCTCCACTGTGGAAAGTCTACTGGTGACCCAATAACTCAGGTGTACAAGGAATTACTGCTACCTTGGTTGTTCACTCATTCTCTTACAAGTATCTAGTCATTCTCGACAATGTAGCAGGCAATGTGTGAGCACTGAGGATACACAAGTTGTGGAAGGCTGTATATTGGATCTTGCACACGCACAGCTGTCTGTCCATTTTGTTCCCTTACCCTCACATGGCTGTCTGCTTCTGTAAACCTGCTTGCTCTTCCCATGAGAAAATAGCTTGTGCTAGCTGTACAGAAAACCGCATCCGGGATGACATCCTATACCTGCTGCTATCTTTGCTAACTAGCCGAAACCTTCTGTTTAGCAATGGATCCTGTACCTGCTGCTGTCTTTGCTAACTAGCTGAAACCTTCTGTTCAGCAATGGAACTGCTTGCATGGAAACCCCACTCCCCTCAGAGATAATTAACCTGCTTGATTCAGCTTCTGTGACTGCTTGCATAGAACCCTGGTAACTGATCCCCTATAAAAAACTAATCAACCTTCGGTCAGGGCTGCAGTTCTGACTCTTGGCCCCCGAGCCTCAGGCTGTAGTTGCTGGCCAGCTAATAAAGACTCCCTTAATCTGGCTTTGTTGGTCGTTCATTCAGTTGCACTCTACAGCAAAGTAAACTGGCCAAACACTGTCGTTTCTGCTCCCGTGGATGAGTAGAGTTATTGGTTACTTTGGTTTTACAAGTGATGGGCTCTTGCCCTACACAGGATGCATGGGGGCACAGAGCGGGGCAAGTTAACTTTGAGCTGGGCTAGATATTTAGAGACCTTCCTGGAGGAAGGGGGTGTGTAAACAGAGGAGGCTAATATGGGTATTGTTAATCTCAATGGCACACTTTTAATGAGCACCTACTATATGCAAAACAATGTTCTAAGCACATTATGTGCATTTTCTCATCTAATTTCTACAACAATTCTATTGCTCCCTTTGCTTCTCAGATGGGAGACCTGAAGCAGAGGGAGGTCACACACTAAGACACTGAAGGGAGGTGAGCAGAGGGGGGAGAGAAGAAAAGCAGGGACATGCCGGGTCTGCGGAGAGAACCGTCTGTACAAAATAGTGGAGGTGAAAGGCAGGGGGACTGGAACAGAAGGTACAAAGAGTGTGGTGAGTGGAGAGCCTGGGGTAGGTCCTACCTTGAGGGGATGACAGTCTGGGAAGGCCAGGAGTGGGAGTGTGGAATCCCTGAGATGAATCCCACCTGGAAGCTAGAGGGACTGCAGCTTAGGGATGTGGGTTGCCTGTGAATGCTTCCTAGAACCTGGGGACCTAGACCAGATATCCAGTGCAGGGGAGGTCCTAAAGCTCCTCGAGGATGAAGGAGAACCCCATTTCACTTCTAAGCAGGAGTACAGTAGGGGAGGGCCGAGTCAGGGTTCCCAGCGCTGCCGTGTCCTACAGAGGTCCTGCCACTCCCGTGTCCTGGGGAGCGAAGAACACTTCATGCACCCTGTTCTGGGGTCTAAGCAGGCTGGGAGGGCTCAGAGCCTGGTCACTAAAAGCCATGCAGTCAGAGAAGTCCGAGTTCAAATCTCATTTCCCTGCACATAGCTCTGTAGGCTTGGGCATATAACTTGCCCTCTCTGGGCAGAGGCTCCCTCTTTTGTAAAGTGGGGATAATAAAACTGTCAGGGTATTATTGTTGGTGGCTGCCTCCCAACACCTATTCCCCACACCTCCTTCCTAAGGACACCCCTGTTTTGGTCAAGTATTCATCCTTCTTGGATGAAGGTCACTTATGTTTGGGAAATAGATTCTAGGGCTAGGTAGGAGTGGTCCTAGTTAGAACCATCAAGAAAGGCCATGGCTTCCAGTGATTGGTTGGGAATCCAGGTTTAAGCCAATCAGCATATGGCATTCCATTCAGATGGTCCAATCAGGCCGAGGGAACATTTATAGTGGATAGTCAGTGGTGAGGGTTTTTCCCTCCTCTCTCTGGTGGGATGGGAGCAGGGTGCTCCGTGGCTGCTGACAGCGGTCATATTATGCCCACAGAGAAGCCAATTTGAGGATAAATCCTAACTGGGAAAAAGACAGAGCCATGGCCATCACCAAGAAGCTGAGCCGGAGCCCTGATCATACTATACCGAGAACCCACCCTGCTACGTGAAATAAAAGTGTCATTGCATTTAAGCCAGGTTGAGTTCACTTTTTGTTATTATAGCTGAACTGATGCAAATGCACTGTTTACAGGTTGTTCGTGTGTGTTTTTCTATAAGTCAAGGCGTATTCACTGAGTATCTGCTATGAGCCAGCTAATGTACCCAGTATTGGGAAGGCAGCACTAAGCGGAAAGACACCCACGTGGACTATGTTCACTAACCGGTGGTAAACGAGTAATGGACAGGAGTGTGTCAGTGATGGGACGACAAGGACATGAACCCTGTGATGTGCGGGAGTGAGAGGGTACTGCGGCAGGGGACGTCGCCACCAGGCAGCATCACCAGAGCTGACATGGAGCTGAATGAGAGGGTGAGAGGGTGCCGGCAGGAGCCGACCCTTCCCTGCAGCACCCTGACTCCCAGCTGCTCCCTGGCCCCAGGGGATGTAGAGATCCCCTTTCACCACCACCAATCCCCACATGGAGCAAGCCCAGCCTTAGTTACAACCAACCAATCCTCACACGGAGCAAGCCCAGCCTTAGTTACAACCAACCAATCTTCACGGAGCAAGCCCAGCATTAGTTACAACCAACCAATCTTCACGGAGCAAGCCCAGCCTTAGTTACCCGGAGGTTGTGCCTTCCCAGGTAGGTAGAGTTTGGCACCATCAGAGGCGGGGGTAGGAGAGGAAGCAGTATTGGTGTGTGTGCAGGTGGGGCAGGGTGGCATAAGACAAGGCACCTGGGATCCAGAATGGAAGCAGGTGTGTGCTCGCAGACACCCACACCTGGGTGTAAATGTCTCCTTGCAATTTACACCCCAAATAGCTCATTGCCTCTCCTAGGCCTGCCGCTGCCCACTGCCCATGAGGGAAGAGAGGTGCAGTGAATAGGCCTAGGCTGTGGTTCTGTTTGTTCCTTCCCTCAACCTGACCTGGGGAAAATAGACATCTCTCAGAACTTTGGTCACTTCATCTGCAAAATGGAGGTGCCATTGCCTACCTCACATGGTCCTTGTAAAGGGAGCCAAGCTTGGTTCTCTTCTTTCTTGCTTAAGGAGCCCAGGGAGCAACAAAGAAAAATGTAGGTTGGAATTATTTCTCCAGGTGGGAAAACTGAGGCACAGAGCAGTTAGGTAACCGGCCCAGGGGTGCACAGCCTGGAAATGGCATAGCTGGGCTTTGAACCTATACTCTTAGCAGTCATGATGTGAAACTTCTCATGTGAAGCAGAGAGAAGGAGAGCTGAGGCTGTGGGTAGTGCAAAATAGGGGAGACTTTGCAGGCAGTGGGGGAGCGTGGTCTCACTAGAGAGCCATGGTATGATCAGAGCCCTGCTGACTAGGCCACCCTGTCCCTACAGCAGGCTGACACGTGTTGCTTAAGAAACATCGGTTTTATTATTACTCAGATAGGTTGAGATCAACAGATCAGGAGAAAAGCACCATTGAAGACAGTCTGTCAGTCGTGTTCCCAAGAGGAGGGGCACACCCTGAAGAGCCATGGGAGGCCGCACCAGGGCAGCAGGAGCAGAGGGCAAGGCCTTCACTGTGGTTTTCCTAGGAAGGCTTGGGTGAGGCAGGGTAAGCCGGCCAAGCAGGCTCAGGACAGCTAGTTTGAGTAATTCCAGCAGACTACATCCTGGAGCACGGCCCGCCCATCTCTGCCTGGCGCCCGACCCTGGGGTGACAGGGGCAGAGGGTGACGCTTGGGAGTCCTGTAAAGGAGGTAGTGGGATCTGAACCCTGAACCATGAGTAAAAACACACTCACCCCTAGGGCTTGACCTGTTTTAGCAGTGGTCTCCGCAAGTCCCTCAAGGCGGCAAACGCACTGGACTCCCACACTGTCAACCGCAGTTTGAGTTCTGGACCTGCTGGCTTGCTTTCTCACTTTCCCTCTGTAAGCACATGTACCCTAGAGCAAATTAAAAATAATGATAATAAATAAAATTAAATAATTTTTAAAAAAGATGTCAAAGCACCGAGAATACAGTAAATAATAAAATATATCCCATACACATTTCTGAGCAGGGAAGCACTTGATTGGTGTGTTCCAAAAGGAAAGAAAAACGTTCGTGCTTGGGATCAGCAGTTAGCGTAATGGCTATGCAACTGGGCTCCCATGTAGTTGACCATGGTTCGAGTCCCAGACCCGGTGGCTTAAACTCACGCCGGGCATGTGTCTGTGTGCCCAAGATCCAGAGAGGAGAAAGGAGGAGAAGGGATTGCTGCATGGCCATCCCCCTGGGGGGTGATTTTGCGCTTTCTATCTCTCTCAGCTTTTCTGGCCAGCACATGCGCCTATAGCAAAAACCTCTCAAAGAAAAAAAAGAAAAGAGAAAAAAGAAAAAACGTTCCTGCTCTGGAAACACCTGAAAGACCCAACACCCTGCAGTTCACAAGCACTAATTAGGCAGAGCATTGCCGGGAGGAACCATCGAGGAGGGAGGGCAGTCAGCACACAGAGGCACCCAGGGAAACAGGCGTGAGGAGGCCTGAGATGGGGCAGGGGTGGGCTCAGCATTGCGGTCTGCTCCCAGTGTGGCCCAGACTGCTATTTCTGCTTCCTGAACCTCAGCTTCAGTACAGACTTGGGGTTACGGTTCTGGAGTCTAGAGTCAGACAACCTGGGTTTGATTTTCCATCTGTCGTGTAGTAGCTAGTGACACTGAGCAAGTTACTAAGCTTCTCTGTGCCTCAATGTCCTCACCTGCGAGACGAGGTACTGATAGGTATCGATCTCATGGGGACTTGTCACGATGGCCCAAGTGAGAACACCGAAGGCGTTCTGTGTGCATCTAAGAAATAAAGCCCCCGGGAGACACGTGTGTTTGCTGCAGGTTGTCATTACAGTCACGCCAATGGCAACGGACCGAACTGATATCAGTGACTGCACCATACGACGGGGCTTCTGGCAAGAATGAAATTTGGTAACACACTCAGCAGTCTGGGAGCAGGCACAGAGCCGTGTTAACTCAGCACGTGTTAACCAATGTTATTGTCACGCTTATGCGGTGTAGTCGCTGCCATGGCGCTCACAAGTCGCCCTCTCTCTCCGGGTTCCCCATGGTGGTGACTAATGGGTACTGCCATCTGACCTCTAGACAAGATGAAGGCTCAGGGGAGGGTGCCCTTGCTTTTTCTACCAGCAGCAACAACCGCAGACACAGCCCTCTTTGCTTGACCTGGGGAGGAAGAGCGAAGGGCAAGTGGGTGCCAGGGACAGCATGGTGTGCAGGGGCCAGACCTTCCCCTGCACCCACAGCGCGGGAGACCAGCCCTGCGTGGGCTCGCTCTTCTCTGCTCCTTCTCTTCTCGTTCCCTCTTTTTCTTTCTCCTTCCTTCCTTTTCTTTCTTCCTTCCTTCCTTCCTTCCTTCCTTCCTTCCTTCCTTCCTTCCTTTCTTTCTTTCTTTCTTTCTTTCTTTCTTTCTTTCTTTCTTTCTCTTTCCTTTCTTTCTCTTTCTTTCCTTCCTTCCTTCCTCTCTTTCTTTATTCTTTCTTTTTCTTCTTTCTTCCTTTCTTTTTATTTCTTTGCTTTTCCTTTTTTCTTTCTTCCCTTTTCTTCTCTCTCTTTCTTCTTTTTCTTTCTTTCCTTTTTTTCTCTTTCTTTCTTTTTCTTTCCTTTCTTCCTTCTTTCTCTCCCTTTTTGTTATAGGGCACATGTGCTCCCCAAAGAAATACAGAGAGAAGAAAGGGAAGGAAAGTGAGAAACCACCTCTGGGGAGGATGCTGATGCTGCGCTTTCTCCTCCTCCATTCCTCTCCCAGAATTTTGGGCAGGCATACACACGTGCCTGGCATGTTTTTCAAGCTGCCAAATCCAAGACTTGAACTGCACAGGTGGCCATGTGGAATCCAGCTGCCTTAGCCTCCATGCCACCTGGTGGCCCTATCTTTTTCTTTTAAGTTGGTTTTAGTTTATCTGTTTGTAAAGTTTATAATATTCTTAATTTAAAAAATCCAAACAATTCAGAAAGGCATCAGAAAGCAAAACCATTCCCCGGAATCTCATCTCCCAGAGACATGGGACTCTACCGCAGACCTCCACTTCCACCCATTCCTCCACGTTTTACACAAACTGGATCAAATACGACACTCCATGTTGCCATCTGCTTCATTCAGTGATAGTCATGGCGGGCTGTTATCAATGAATGTAGACACACATTCTTCTTAATGGCAGTGCAGGGCTTCTCGGCTACGCTGATACTTATTTCATCCTCTTGGGATGAATGGGTGTTAGGCTGTTCCCGTTTTTTGGGGAAGTATAAATAACACTCATTAAATATTTTGCACGTAGTACTTTACCCACGGTCTCGGGATTGATCCTGAAGAGTCAAAGTCCTGAACCAATTTTGTATATTTATGTATTTATCCGTTAATTCACCAAGACGTACTTGAGCATCAATTACATGCCAGGCACTGTCCCAGGTGCTGGAGTCCCAGCCCTGCAGAAGGCAGGCCAAGGCATTAGCAGAAAACAATTAACAAAGTGAATTATATACAGCATAGCATTTGGACAGAGGTTGACAAATTTGTCCTCCAGAAAGCTGATGCCAGTTTACAAGTCTCTACCAGTGGTGAGAGAGGACGCCCCTCACCCCCAACCTCTTGCCAAAGCTGTACAGTATTAATATTCCCCTGTCCATCTGATAGCTACAAAATAAAAAATTATTGCTGCTTTTGTTTAATGACTAATAGACATTGAGCAGCTCTTAAAGCCATTATTATACCGAGTGCTATGCAGAAGGCATGGTTCTGTGTGTGCTAGGTACTATTATTAACCCTATATTTTAAAACTTTTTTTCTTGTATTTATTTATTTATCTATTTATTTTAAAATTTGCTATAGTGTGTATGTTCTCACTGGAGAAAGATAGATAGAGAGAGAGAGAGAGAGAGAGAGATTGAGTGAGAGAGCAAGAAAGCACCACCCAGTGGGATGACCACAGTGTAAGCTGTTCTTCTTCATTCTCCTCTTGGGATGTTGGGCACACATGCACGTATGTCTGGTGTGTTTTCCAAGCCACTGGGTTCAGGACTTGAATTGTACAATTGGTCACGTGAGATCCAGCCATCTTAACCACTATGCCACTCACTGGCCTTATTAACCCCATTTTACAGATGAGGAAACTGAGACAAAGGGTTAAAGCACAGGGCCCAAGGTAACATAGCCACACACGTTTTGAATAGGAATTTGAACCCAGAGCTCTCTGTCGCCAGAGCCTAAACACTAAATCACTTCCCAAAGTATCTCCCACTACCCTACACTAACTAAACAGTTTGTACACATTTTTGTTTATGGGTTGGGCATTTCTAGGGCTCCTTTCATCAACTGCCTGTTTGTGCCCCTCACTCTCTTATGAACATAGACCCTTGCGTGACTTTCGTGTTCTAAGTAAATGCAGACCAGAATGTTCTCCTTGGGGCGTGTTGGAGATCTAAGAGAGATGGCTGAGCAAACACCCAGGCCAGCTTTTGGCACCAAGGAGCCTCGGCAAACGTTCTCTTCGGAAAAAGACAATGCATTAAAAAGGCCTCTGTAAACAACAAACTCTGCCAACAGAAAGGATTATCATTAAGCAAGTTTAGAGGAAGGACTTGGAGTTCTTCCTGGGGGGCGTGGAAGCCACCCCTGCCCAGTGAGCTGTGACCAAGCTGTGCTGTTGTGGGGGAAGGGCTCAGAAAGAGCTGGAATTGGGGCTGCCAGTCAGGATGTGAGTCAGAGTTCCAGTGAAGGCAGCCTGAGTGAGCTCTGGGGGAAGGGCCCCTCATCCAGGACTCAGGACTCAGGTGGCATGGAGGCTGGGCACTTCGCAACTCAGAGTGGCCATGGAGACGCTGCTCTAGGGATGCGGACTTGACCTGGCCATGGTGGGCTCAGGACCTGGAGCAGAGCTGGTGAGGTCATGGTGGGCTCAGGACCTGGAGCAGAGCTGGTGAGGCCATGGTGGGCTCAGGACCTGGAGCAGAGCTGGTGAGGTCATGGTGGGCTCAGGACCTGGAGCAGAGCTGGTGAGGTCATGGTGGACTCAGGATCTGGAGCAGAGCTGGTGAGGCCATGGTGGACTCAGGATCTGGAGCAGAGCTGGTGAGGTCATGGTGGGTTCAGGACCTGGAGCAGAGCTGGTGAGACCATGGTGGGCTCAGGATCTGGAGCAGAGCTGGTGAGATCAGCTCCATCACTTGCTGGTTGTTCTAGGCACCAGGAGGATGCAGTGATCAGACAGCCGGGCCTCTGCCCACAGGCCATGTGAGAGTTTAGCACCTTAACCATCATGCCAGCTGCCGGCCTCCACCTCCATCCCATCTGATCACTTACCTGTGATGGCTGTTTCCCCAGCTGGGAAGTGGGAGTGATACTAATGCTGTTCTTATGACCTGCTGCTGTGTAGGAAAAAAAAAAATGAAACACGGTGGCATAGAACACCCGGCTTCAGGATTCCTTGGTCAGGATGAGTGAGGCTGCACTGGACGGCCAGCTCTGCTCAGTCCAGTGGAATGTGGGCAGCATGGAGGACAGACCTGGCATCTAAGATGCGCTCAGTGAATGCCAGCCATTGAGACCCTTGGTGTCCTCTGACCCCTCCTTTCACCTCCTGCAATCCCATCCCTGAGGCAAAGATGCTCTGTAAATGGGTCCTGGTTAGCGCACTCAGTGTCTCAGCCCTCCAATCAGGGATATCATCACTGCTAATTTGGCATCATTAGATCCTGGCCATTCTTAGCAACTCCCTGAGTGGGTGAGTGGCGCTGCCCCAGTTCCCACTGCTCAGATCCAGGCCTCAGCCTGCTGCGGGGGTCTGGCCCTTCCTGGCTTGAGAGTCTGAGCTCCTGTTGGTCAACATGCAAGCTGTTACTCAGTTACCCCGGAGCCAGAGCCGAATGGTCAGGTGACTGTGGCCTGGACTTTGACCTCTGAGCCTCAGCTCTATGGCTGCCCAGCTGGGTAGCCCTGGGCAGGTTTTTATTCCAAGATGTAGTTTCTCCAGCTGTGCAAAGACAGATCATGACCAGCCAAAATACTTGCTAAAAATGCAGGTTTCTGGTTGTCACTTTGTACCGACTGAATTGAGAAGGCTGGCCTTCTCTTGTCCTGAGATTGAGGCTGAAGGGGGTAAAGAAGCTGGTCATTGTAAGGGTGGGCAGGCCTCAGTCCTCTGTGTGCCCAGGATGAACATCTGACAGTGCCTGCCAGGGGCGGTTGGGAGGGTCAGACGAAAACTGTGCCCCACACAGCGAAGTGCCTATGTGTGTGCTCAACCCATTGTTCTCACAGCCACCTTCTGGGTGCTGTTACCAAGAGCGAGTTCTAGGAAGGAAGGGGACTTCCTAATGGATCGGGACATGGGGAATAAGAGAGTAGGGATCCAGGAACTAGATGGGACAGGGCTGGAAACCAGAGCACTGAAGTCCATAGGAGGAGGGGGATCATCTCATCTCCTGTGAGTGTCGACTGGAGGCTGGTCATGGTGCAGCAGTAATGCTGTGCTCCATTACGGGGAGGTCCCGGGTTTGCATCCCAAGGCCTGCTCATCCCTGCTCACACCCAGTGTGCAGATGGAGACTGTTGGGGGTGCCGCTCTTTTTGAAAAAGTGAATAAATACACTTGGGAAAAGATCTAGGTTCAGTTAATTGGGAACTTGACTATCCAGTGTTGGCTAGCTACTGGGGTAGGTTCTCTCATGTCTTGGGGCTTCTCCATGTCCATGCAGCTACCTGGTTGACCTCAGAGTGTGCTCTGTCATCTTACATCACAGGCTGGGCCAAGTCCTCTGCAGGGTCCCCTCTCCCAGCCCTGAGGCCTTTGCTGCCAGCCTTCTCTCCAGTGGAGCAGAGATGGAAAGAGCATGGAGTTGGATGGTCTTAGTGTGAACTGCCACTCCTTAAGCTGTGTGACCCCAGGCAGGCTATCCAGCCTCTCTCAGCTTCCATCCTCTGGGTGATCAGTGGGGAAATTCAGTCCTGGACTGCCCAGCTCCTTGCGCTGCCATGAGTCTCCCTCAGACTATGGAAGCACTTGCTTAGCGAACTGCCAAGGCCCTTAGAATGACATGGTGGGGACAGCAGGTTGGTGTGGTGGTTGAGGTACTGGATGCCGACATGGTCGACCATGGTTTGAGTCCTGGACTGGTAGCTTGCTTTCTCTCTCTCACTCTCTCTCCTGGCAAATACGCATGCCCTGTAGCAAATTGAAAATTAATAATAATGATTAAAAAAAGAGAGAGAGAATGACATGGTAAGTAGCAGGAGAACCATTGAACGTCTAGACTGGCAAGGTGATGTGGCCAACAGCACAGCTACTCAGAGAGCTGACAGTGAGCAGATGAGTCCCCCTCTTCCCCCAGTTGCATTTTCTGCCTCCTAGGCCCTGATGAACTGCAACCTGGTGGAAGCCCCTGACTGTGGGCTGCCTGAGCATCCAGACCAGCCTCCCCACTTTCCCCCAGGATCCTGGAGCACAACACCTCCAGGAGTCCTTAGCCTGGGGGATGGGTCCACGTGACTCACAAATTCATCTCCCAGGAGCCCAAAGCAGATGGAAGAGGAAGGAGAGAGGTTCAACAACACCTACGTTGGAGACCCAGCTACCGAACAGTCCTCTTGTGAGCTCAGAGAAGCCCCACCATGCTCAGCAGCACCCCGTTCCAGGAGGTCTCCATGGAAGTGTGAACACATAGAGGGTGACCAGCTCATGCCAGTTTGACTGAGACTGTCCTGGCATTAACATAGCATGCCCTGCAACCTGAACAAACCAACACGGGTGGCCACCCTGCATCAGAGCACTGATTAGAAAGCTGTGGAGGGGCCAGCAGGTGGCGTGGAGGTTAAGGTGCTGGATCCCACATGGCCGACTTTGTGGCTTTTGTCCAGACCTACAGCTTGAACGTCACACCAGTCATGTGTGTGCATGCCCAAAATCCCGAGGGGAGAGTGGAGAAGGCATTGCAGTGTAGCCATACCCACAGGGGCTTGATTTCTCACTTTCCCTCTCTCTGTCTCTCTTTGGTTAGCATACTAGCATACGTGCCCAATGGCGAAAATCTAAAAAAAAAAAAAAAAAGCAGGGCTCTGAGCCAGACTACATGGGTTCGAGGCCCCACCCTGCTGCCTGCTAACTGTGAGACTTGGGGCAAGTTGCTTCCTTTTGCTGAGCCGTAGGGTCCTTTTCTATAACATGGAGCAGTACACCCGTCTCATGGAGGTCCTGTACGTTTGGTTAGATTGTGGCCTCAGTTCAGGGTCTGGCACCCAGTGGCTGCTGGCAAATATGACTCTTGTTACTTGTCAAGTCCTCCTTCCCCGGGAGGAAGGGATGTGTGTGTATGGCCTCACTCATCATGCCCAGCACCCACTGGGTGTAGGCTTGAGAGTGGGAACCTAGACCTCACAAGGCCCTGGTTCCATCTTCAACAGGGACCTAAGAGTTGTGCAGGCATAATGACCATAGCCAGAAATCAATACTTGTCAGATAGGGGTATAAAAGCAAAGGTTTGGGCTAGCAGGTGGTGTGATGGTTAAGGTACTGGACTCCCACATGGCTGACAGCAGTTCGAGTCTTGGACTTGGTGGCTTGCTTTCTCACTCTCTTTCTCTCTCTCTATTCCTCTAGTGGGCACATATGCCCTATAGCAAATTAAAATAATAATAATAATAAAAAATAAGATTAGATAAGTCATTCTTTTTAAAAAATAGGCTTGATCATTGACTACACCTACGATAATGAACTTTTATGGTATGTAAATTACACCTTGATAGAACTCTTTTTTTTTGGAGAGATTTTTCACTGTAGGGCGTGTGCGCTTGCCAGACAGAGAGAGACATAGAGACAGAAAGCGAGAAATCACCCCCCCAGGGGGGATGGTCACGCCGCAATCCCTTCTCCTCCATTCTCCTCTCGGGATCTTGGGCACGCACGCACACGCGCCCGGCGTGAGTTTTAAGCCACCGGGTCCGGGACACGAACCACAGTTGACTACGTGGGAGTCCAGCGACATAGCCATTACGCTAACTGCTGGTTCCCACCTTGATAGAACTCTTAAAATAAAACCAAAACCAAAATTAAAATAAAAAAATAAAGGCCTTTGGGGCCGGCAAGTGGATAAATAAAGTTAAATAAAATAATTCTTAAAAAAAAATAAAAAAATAAAATAAAAAAATAAAGGCCTTTCAAAATAGGAAGCACTTGCTATGGCCCAGAAAGTGGTGATCATGGAAGGCTTTTAGAAAGAGGTGCCATTTGAGCTGGACCTCAAATAGCAGAGAGAATTTGGAGATCAGATATGATGGACGTCAGGGTGTGGTCAGCATGTGTGGTCAGTCAGAGCAGTGGGCCTGCGGGAAGAGGGGGGGTTGATAGCTAGGGTTGTCCACATTCTACTGCTCTCTTTATTTTATTTCATTTAATTTTTATTTTACATTCGATCATTGTGTACCATTACAGCATACAAAATAAATTTTCCCAGTATGAGTACACTGTATATTAGTCTAGTCAAAGATATTACCATACCCATTATTATCAACTGATAAATTTCCATTTTGTGTCCCTTAAATATTTTGCCTCTTTGTTTCCCCTTCACATCCTCCCCCATTTCCCACTCTCCTTCTACACAGTCTCTAATATCTCCAGTTACCCTCCATGCCTTTATACCTTCCAGTCTTTCAGTTTGTGCCATAGAGTGGCAAATATTCGATATATATATTGAGTAGTGACATACAATGCCTCTCTTTCATAGTCTGGTTGGCTTCCTTAGCAATAAATCTTCCATATTTGTCTGCTTTCTATCAAATGCCACATCTCATTATTTCAATGGCTGCATAGTATTCCATAGTGTATAAGTGCCACACTTTTTCAATCCATTCATGGATTGGATGTTCGTGGACATTTAGGTTGGTTCCA